GCCTCACGCTGATGGCGCGCACCTCGTCCGCCGTTAGAGCCCAAAAACCCACGCCCTCTATCACGCGCTCACCACCTGGGGGGGTGGGAGAAAGCGGAGGGGAGGGGGAACGGGGACGGGGACGGGGGATGAGGGCGGGCCACGGGTGCGCTTGAATGGAGGGCTGATGGCGCACCACCTCGTCCGCCGTGTTTGTAAATCCAAAGCCCACGCCTCTATAACGCGGTTCACCACCTGGTGATGGGGGGAAGAGAGGAGGAGAAGAGGGGGAGCGGGCAGTCGGTCGGGAAGGAGGGGGTGGGGGTTAGGGCGGAGACCGTTGAGAGTGATTCCGCGCAGCACCTCTCCACCAGCCCCCCCTTTCCCCCCCCCCCCCCCCCCTCCCCCTCCCTCCGCTAAGCCCAAACACTACAAGAGGAAGGGGGAAGGGGGATGAGGCCGACGAGAAACACATATGGTCCGAGGAGGGGAAAAGGCCATCACCGTGCCAAGAGGCATTGTAGTGAAACAAACGGCACGGTAGACGTCTCAAAACAGCCGACATTGTGGTGTGAAGGTGAATGTAACAGAGTGTTGAGGCGTCTCAAAACGCCGTCATGCTACCCATGCAGATGAGAGTAACTCGAGAAAAACGCAGGGCAAGAAACGTGACGCGGGAAACAGTTAGAGTCTGACTGTTTTGCGAAAGAATGTCGGTGGTAGGCTGGTGCCAACGCACAGCAGGAAACCGTGGAAAATCGTGGATAACCGAAAAGAGACGTTTAAAACCGCTTCGCGGCGTGTCACAATTTGTCGTGAGCTATAAAGTCTCGCAGCTATTTCGGCGTTTTAAATTTCTCATCCTCTAACTCGGCGTATAAATTTCGGCGAGAAGCAAAGAACCGGCCGTGGAGAAGCGGAATCGTCTTAACGTTGATTAACTCATGTGCACGCACCTCATGACGAACGGACTTGTTCATGGTCGCATCAACGGAAGCGGTGAGAAACCGAGAGTGTTCCACGGTGACTAAGTAATACTACCGATGCAGGTCCGACGTAACCAGCAAGCGCTGTAAGATCCTAGAAATCTTGGCGGACCCGCGAACCCGCGATCAACTGTGAGCCGTCGATTTGTGGCGGACAACCAGCTGATCTGACGGCCAAAGGTAATTTGAAGAGGAGTTAGGAGGGCTGGAGATGCTATCCCTAAATGAAGGTCTAGGGTTTGTGGCTCCTAGGGAACGCGTGAAGTATTCCCCGGTACAAGGGAGTCGACAGGAGGTTATATGGCTATACGTTGATTTCAGTGACTAAGTGCTGTACAGATATTTATCCACCAATCTATTGCTGTAGTTTCCCAGATGAGTCACCCTATGATTATAGAAGTTGTTTGTTTCGTACCTATACTATTGAGTACGGCAAGCCTGGAAAAGTGGATTGCAGAATTGCTGTCTTTTCGCACTATAATTTTCTGTCTTGTGACGATGATACACAATCAGGGCTGTCTGTCACAAAGCTTCCTTGCTTGCACTCTTCCTAATATATACGCCCTTGACCTGGAGCTGGTACAAGAGAAAATTGAACAGGAAAAATAGCCAAACAGATAGGAGCAGACAGTAAGCATTATTGCAGACGGACAAAATTTTTGAGGACCAGTAGCAGCCCAAGAAACTGACTTAAAAATCACGAACCAAAGTGCCACAATGATGCCAAAGAGGAATGGACGCTTGAATCTGGTTCTCAAAAACAAATGGCCATCAGGCCAGAATTGCACCAAGAGCAACGAAGATCATCATTATGGTCACCACCAGCACAGTCACCATTGTACTCACAACCACCGAAGAATGATAATAGAGAATGATCTTCGATGTTAGGCCAATAAGTTCAAGACAATAACACATCACAACTGGTCAGGACGACAACCCACCTCGCGTGTACCCACTGCATGGTCTTTAGGCTGGAAGTGAACCACAGGACAAGTTTTGAGAAGCCTAGAAACTCGTCTCATTCCACTACGCCTGTAGCCACTACAGGTGTACCCATTACATGGTTTTAGGCTCTGGTGAATCACAGGACCGGAACCATACTAGGTTAGGTCACCTCTCGGGTTGTCAGAGCCTGAGCTCCCGCTCTAAGAAAATACCAAATTAATCATGGCCCCTGGAAACGCCATTGGCCATAAGCATTTCAAACTGCTGAACAAACGCGCTCGTCGCTGAAATGTCAATAACCTGTGTCACATGAGCACGACCGTCTAAGCGCCGCCACCTGTTACCAGCCTTTGACCACTTTTCTCCTCACCTGCGAGTCACGAGATCGAGGTCATTGCGTTGCTTCGCGGAAGGCTTCCATCTTCTTCATTCGCCGTAGGAACAGCTCGTATTCGCACTTTTCGTACGAGTGCCGCTCGTCGCTGCACTTCCACGGCGCGAACATCGTCTCCGTGCGGCACCGGTTCAGCGGAATCAGCAGATGCGCGCACAGATCGCGCGCGCCCAGGCTCAGCCGCGCGCGCGCCATCTCCTCCTCCGACACCAGCGGCTTCTCCGGAGCGGACATGGCTGCGAAACGATAAGAAGCCTTTTCTCTTCCCTTGCGCCGACGCGATATAAGGAAGAATTAGAGTCTTCTGTCACTAGTGTTGCGGGTCGGCGTGTCGCGGGAACGGGAAGAGGTTTGGCGGAGACGGAAGGCTGTGCGGTGGGCGGAGTCGGGAGGGGCTGGTGTGGCGGACGGGATGTGGGGGCTGGGGATGGGGCAGGGGTTGATGAACTTTCTGTACTCGCTGCGTGTAAGAACTGTACTGGGTGTGGTATTGTGAACAAATTTAGTGAAGGACTTGGCTTCTATGCTGGATTATTCGGCATGCTCTTGATATGGTGATTAGATAAATCATTTATGCCAATTTAATTGTTGATTTTCAACAATAAGAATGCTAATGCTGTTGCTACACATCCTCTGGTCTGATTAGAATGTCCACAACCAGCCGAAAGCATCACCATGCACATGTAGATGAGCATAAACAGCACGATCTTGTTGTGAGTCTGCCTGCAACGGGACAGTCTGACTCAATTCTGAAGCAGACTTCCTCCGACGCGGTTACAAAATCTAGATTCCGAAGCTCCTTATCACTCAGCATTGCCTCGCGACGTCCTAACTTTGCGGACATCCTTAGTGTCTTGCTAATTAATGAAAGTTTAGCATCTTAATATCCACTCGATAAATATGTCATCAGACGGAAATCCCCCTACGCGCAGCGATGGCGTTTCCGCGCAGACCCCGCAAGGGTCGATGCGCACGCCGGCGCAAACCCCGCACGGATCAATGCGCACGCCGGAGCAGACGCCGCTTACTCCGCGGGACTCGGGGCGATCGAGCTCGCCTCAGCTGAACTTCACGCCGCGCGCGAGCGCCGGCAGCCCGTACAGCTCGCAGCAACCCACCATCCGATCCACGTGCGTTGCTTTTACTAGTGGTAGATACTAGTCATTGTTTTTCCTTACAGCTTCGACATAATGAGATCACACTAATGGCGGATCCGCGTTACTCTGTTGCTCAAACCCAAATCATCCGTGTTCTAGCCGTGTTTTATACGCTGTGCTTTTGGTAGTTCTCAGCATGCTCCTGTTGCTCGATTCACACGCAATCTATCCGTGATTTCTAGCAATCCGACCCTTTAGCGCGTACGCACTGTGCCCGCCCTGATCTCTTGCTACTCCTAATCCAACCCCTCCCTTCCTCTCACTACTGTCACCCCTCCGCTCTCTCCCCCCACCCCCTTCCCCGCTCAGTCCGTCCTTCCCAGGAGCGACCTGGGCGGCTCCATGGCGCAGCGGCGCAGGTTCCACCGCCGCAGGCAGGGCGCGTCAGGGCAGGCGGCATCTGGGGGAGGTGCGCCTTCAGGCACGCCTGTCAGCACGCCAGGGCCGCCCGAGCCATCCGATAGCCTGGTAAGTGGTGATGGTGCTTTGACACAAAGCATCAGGGCAGGCAGCATCTGGGGGAGGCGCCTTCTGGCACGCTCGGCAGCACGCCAGGGCCGCCCGAGCCATCCGATAGCCTGGTAAGTGTTTTTTAAAAAGCATCAAACACTGTCAGCGCAGGCGCTATCTGGGGAAGGTGGGGAGGGGCGCTGTCAGGCACGCCTGTCAGCACGCCTGGGCCACCCGAGCCGTCCAATAGCGCACGAGGACGAGGAGAGGAGGTAGTTGAGACTGCGGATGCAAGGCCTCTTCTCCTCTTCCTCTCGCCCTCTCCTCCCGTCTCCCATGTATACCCCTCATTCTCCACTCCACTCCCCCTTTCTCCGTCCTCTCTCGCCCTGAAACAGGGAGGCAACTCGGAGCAGGACAGAATGTCATGGGAGCAGTACCATCGCCAGCAGCAGCAGAGGGGGAGAGGAGGAGCCGCAGGGGCAGGGGGAGGGGGAAGGGCAGGCACAGGGGCAGGGGCACGGGAAGGGGTGCGTGTGGAGGCGGGACTGGGCGGGGAGGCGCAGGGGATGGGGGGACAGGGGCAGGGGGTGGGGGGAGGGGGAGGAGGAGGAGTTGGAGGGGACGTTTTGTGTGGGGCACGGGGGTGAGCGTGCAGGACGTGTCGAGCAAGTTTGCATCGTTCGTGCAGCACTTCAGGGAGGCGGATGATGCGCTGCACGCCAAGTACTCGCAACAGCTGGATGAGGTGAGGACTGGGGGAGGGGGAGTGGAGTAGAAGGTTGGTGAGAGAGCGGGGCGTGTGTGGTTCCACATCCCTCGTAAATCTCCCCTCCCCCTTCCCCTCCCCCTTCCCCTCCCCCTTCCCCTCCCCTTCCCCGCCTGCTGCAGCTGGTGGAGATGGAGGGGGACACGTTCCCCGTGGACTGTGCTAACAAGACGTCTCAAAATCCCTAAATCATCTATCCCTATGCGCGCCCCCCTGCACTGCACGCGCCACACACACACGCACCCAGCTGGTGGAGATGGAAGGAGACACCTTCCTCGTGGATCGTGCTGACGTGTATTGTTTGAGTTGAGACGTCTCAAATGCTCTACCTTTCTATCTATGTATTCCCATGCACGCCCATTGCACACACCAGCTGGTGGAGATGGAGGGAGACACCTTCCCGTGGACTGTGCTGACGTGTACGCCTTCTCTGCTGAGCTGTACCGGCTGCTGGTGCGCTACCCATTGGAGGTCATCCCCATCTTCGACATCAAGATCGCTGAGCTGGCAGCCGACCGCATGCCCATGTGGGACAAGCACATCCAGGTGGGCGGCTCAGACATACTCACATTCGTTACAAGCACATCTGGGCATGTGTTTGTAGCACATCGTTGTGCGCCTGTTTGTTTTTCACACCTCATGGGTGTTAGCTAGCTGGCAGCCGACCGCATGCCCATGTGGGACAAGCACATCCAGGTGGGCGATCTATATGACATAGTCACATCTGTTATACGCACATCTCGCCTCACGCAAAACACTCACCTGCCACTGCCCAATCTGGTTGCTCAAGTCTCAATAGGAGAAACGTGCCTCCCTCATTCTGCCTCACTCTCTCCCACCCTCTCAGGTGCGCACATTCAACCTTCGGGACACGGTGCACATGCGCGACCTCAACCCCTCAGGTGCGTGCCTCCCTGCCCGCCCGCCTGGTTGACCGCACCACACCACACCGTACCGCACCGCACCATAGCACAACACAAACACATCATCCACACCATCTTCAGGTGCGCACGTTCAACCCCTCGTGCGCACAGTGCACATGCACAGCATGACCTGAACTCCTCAGGTACGTCTTTTGAAGTGCTTCAATCAAACAGCGCACATGCAAGACCTGAACCGCTCAGATACATCCCTGCCTGCCTGCTTGCCTGCCTGTCCACCTCCCTGCTTACCTCACCGCGTTCCACACTGTATTCTCTACTGCTTGGCTCTCTGTAAGCCTGTTTGTTTGTCTGCCTCCTTCCTTCCTCACTCCCTTGCTTCCCCCCCTCTCTTGGCCCCTCTTCCCATCCCACTTCCCTCCACCATTCCTCCCTCTGTCCCCCCACCAGACATCGATCGATGCACTGGTGGCAGTGAGGGGCATGGTCATCCGCACGTCCTCCATCATCCCAGACGTCAAGGCCGCTTACTTCAAGTGCCTCGTGTGCGGCCACAGCCACTCTCATGCCCACATGTCTCCATCCACTGTCCACACCCACTCCCTCCGCCTCTCTTTTTCCGTCCCTCCTTCCCCTTCTCCTTCTCTCCTCCTACCTTCCCTTCTCTCCCCTTTCTATGCCCTCCTCCTCCTCCCACCAGACATCGATGCGTTGGTGGCAGTGAGGGGCATGGTAATCCGCACGTCCTCCATCATTCCAGACATCAAGGCGGCTTACTTCAAGTGCCTCGTGTGCGGCCACTCGCCTGACCTCGTGCTTGTTGACCGAGGTGCGTAAGGTGGCGGGGCTGGGTGGCGGGTTGGGTTGGGTGGCGGGGTTGGGTGACAGTGCGTGGATGGAATGACATCAAGGCCGCTTACTTCAAGTGCCTTGTGTGCGGCCACTCGCCTGACCTCGTGCTTGTTGACAGAGGTGAGTTGAGAGACGAACGTGGCATAGAGGTCTGGTGGCATAGTTTCCTCCAAGGTCTGGTGGCATAGTTTCCTCCAAGGTCTGGTGGCATAGTTTCCTCCAAGGTCTGGTGGCATAGTTTCCTCCAAGGTCTGGTGGCATAGTTTCCTCCAAGGTCTGGTGGCATAGTTTCCTCCAAGGTCTGGTGGCATAGTTTCCTCCAAGGTCTGGTGGCATAGTTTCCTCCAAGGTCTGGTGGCATAGTTTCCTCCAAGGTCTGGTGGCATAGTTTCCTCCAAGGTCTGGTGGCATAGTTTCCTCCAAGGTCTGGTGGCATAGTTTCCTCCAAGGTCTGGTGGCATAGTTTCCTCCAAGGTCTGGTGGCATAGTTTCCTCCAAGGTCTGGTGGCATAGTTTCCTCCAAGGTCTGGTGGCATAGTTTCCTCCATGATAGTTTCCTCCAAGGTCTGGTGGCATAGTTTCCTCCAAGGTCTGGTGGCATAGTTTCCTCCAAGGTCTGGTGGCATAGTTTCCTCCAAGGTCTGGTGGCATAGTTTCCTCCAAGGTCTGGTGGCATAGTTTCCTCCAAGGTCTGGTGGCATAGTTTCCTCCAAGGTCTGGTGGCATAGTTTCCTCCAAGGTCTGGTGGCATAGTTTCCTCCAAGGTCTGGTGGCATAGTTTCCTCCAAGGTCTGGTGGCATAGTTTCCTCCAAGGTCTGGTGGCATAGTTTCCTCCAAGGTCTGGTGGCATAGTTTCCTCCAAGGTCTGGTGGCATAGTTTCCTCCAAGGTCTGGTGGCATAGTTTCCTCCAAGGTCTGGTGGCATAGTTTCCTCCAAGGTCTGGTGGCATAGTTTCCTCCAAGGTCTGGTGGCATAGTTTCCTCCAAGGTCTGGTGGCATAGTTTCCTCCAAGGTCTGGTGGCATAGTTTCCTCCAAGGTCTGGTGGCATAGTTTCCTCCAAGGTCTGGTGGCATAGTTTCCTCCAAGGTCTGGTGGCATAGTTTCCTCCAAGGTCTGGTGGCATAGTTTCCTCCAAGGTCTGGTGGCATAGTTTCCTCCAAGGTCTGGTGGCATAGTTTCCTCCAAGGTCTGGTGGCATAGTTTCCTCCAAGGTCTGGTGGCATAGTTTCCTCCAAGGTCTGGTGGCATAGTTTCCTCCAAGGTCTGGTGGCATAGTTTCCTCCAAGGTCTGGTGGCATAGTTTCCTCCAAGGTCTGGTGGCATAGTTTCCTCCAAGGTCTGGTGGCATAGTTTCCTCCAAGGTCTGGTGGCATAGTTTCCTCCAAGGTCTGGTGGCATAGTTTCCTCCAAGGTCTGGTGGCATAGTTTCCTCCAAGGTCTGGTGGCATAGTTTCCTCCAAGGTCTGGTGGCATAGTTTCCTCCAAGGTCTGGTGGCATAGTTTCCTCCAAGGTCTGGTGGCATAGTTTCCTCCAAGGTCTGGTGGCATAGTTTCCTCCAAGGTCTGGTGGCATAGTTTCCTCCAAGGTCTGGTGGCATAGTTTCCTCCAAGGTCTGGTGGCATAGTTTCCTCCAAGGTCTGGTGGCATAGTTTCCTCCAAGGTCTGGTGGCATAGTTTCCTCCAAGGTCTGGTGGCATAGTTTCCTCCAAGGTCTGGTGGCATAGTTTCCTCCAAGGTCTGGTGGCATAGTTTCCTCCAAGGTCTGGTGGCATAGTTTCCTCCAAGGTCTGGTGGCATAGTTTCCTCCAAGGTCTGGTGGCATAGTTTCCTCCAAGGTCTGGTGGCATAGTTTCCTCCAAGGTCTGGTGGCATAGTTTCCTCCAAGGTCTGGTGGCATAGTTTCCTCCAAGGTCTGGTGGCATAGTTTCCTCCAAGGTCTGGTGGCATAGTTTCCTCCAAGGTCTGGTGGCATAGTTTCCTCCAAGGTCTGGTGGCATAGTTTCCTCCAAGGTCTGGTGGCATAGTTTCCTCCAAGGTCTGGTGGCATAGTTTCCTCCAAGGTCTGGTGGCATAGTTTCCTCCAAGGTCTGGTGGCATAGTTTCCTCCAAGGTCTGGTGGCATAGTTTCCTCCAAGGTCTGGTGGCATAGTTTCCTCCAAGGTCTGGTGGCATAGTTTCCTCCAAGGTCTGGTGGCATAGTTTCCTCCAAGGTCTGGTGGCATAGTTTCCTCCAAGGTCTGGTGGCATAGTTTCCTCCAAGGTCTGGTGGCATAGTTTCCTCCAAGGTCTGGTGGCATAGTTTCCTCCAAGGTCTGGTGGCATAGTTTCCTCCAAGGTCTGGTGGCATAGTTTCCTCCAAGGTCTGGTGGCATAGTTTCCTCCAAGGTCTGGTGGCATAGTTTCCTCCAAGGTCTGGTGGCATAGTTTCCTCCAAGGTCTGGTGGCATAGTTTCCTCCAAGGTCTGGTGGCATAGTTTCCTCCAAGGTCTGGTGGCATAGTTTCCTCCAAGGTCTGGTGGCATAGTTTCCTCCAAGGTCTGGTGGCATAGTTTCCTCCAAGGTCTGGTGGCATAGTTTCCTCCAAGGTCTGGTGGCATAGTTTCCTCCAAGGTCTGGTGGCATAGTTTCCTCCAAGGTCTGGTGGCATAGTTTCCTCCAAGGTCTGGTGGCATAGTTTCCTCCAAGGTCTGGTGGCATAGTTTCCTCCAAGGTCTGGTGGCATAGTTTCCTCCAAGGTCTGGTGGCATAGTTTCCTCCAAGGTCTGGTGGCATAGTTTCCTCCAAGGTCTGGTGGCATAGTTTCCTCCAAGGTCTGGTGGCATAGTTTCCTCCAAGGTCTGGTGGCATAGTTTCCTCCAAGGTCTGGTGGCATAGTTTCCTCCAAGGTCTGGTGGCATAGTTTCCTCCAAGGTCTGGTGGCATAGTTTCCTCCAAGGTCTGGTGGCATAGTTTCCTCCAAGGTCTGGTGGCATAGTTTCCTCCAAGGTCTGGTGGCATAGTTTCCTCCAAGGTCTGGTGGCATAGTTTCCTCCAAGGTCTGGTGGCATAGTTTCCTCCAAGGTCTGGTGGCATAGTTTCCTCCAAGGTCTGGTGGCATAGTTTCCTCCAAGGTCTGGTGGCATAGTTTCCTCCAAGGTCTGGTGGCATAGTTTCCTCCAAGGTCTGGTGGCATAGTTTCCTCCAAGGTCTGGTGGCATAGTTTCCTCCAAGGTCTGGTGGCATAGTTTCCTCCAAGGTCTGGTGGCATAGTTTCCTCCAAGGTCTGGTGGCATAGTTTCCTCCAAGGTCTGGTGGCATAGTTTCCTCCAAGGTCTGGTGGCATAGTTTCCTCCAAGGTCTGGTGGCATAGTTTCCTCCAAGGTCTGGTGGCATAGTTTCCTCCAAGGTCTGGTGGCATAGTTTCCTCCAAGGTCTGGTGGCATAGTTTCCTCCAAGGTCTGGTGGCATAGTTTCCTCCAAGGTCTGGTGGCATAGTTTCCTCCAAGGTCTGGTGGCATAGTTTCCTCCAAGGTCTGGTGGCATAGTTTCCTCCAAGGTCTGGTGGCATAGTTTCCTCCAAGGTCTGGTGGCATAGTTTCCTCCAAGGTCTGGTGGCATAGTTTCCTCCAAGGTCTGGTGGCATAGTTTCCTCCAAGGTCTGGTGGCATAGTTTCCTCCAAGGTCTGGTGGCATAGTTTCCTCCAAGGTCTGGTGGCATAGTTTCCTCCAAGGTCTGGTGGCATAGTTTCCTCCAAGGTCTGGTGGCATAGTTTCCTCCAAGGTCTGGTGGCATAGTTTCCTCCAAGGTCTGGTGGCATAGTTTCCTCCAAGGTCTGGTGGCATAGTTTCCTCCAAGGTCTGGTGGCATAGTTTCCTCCAAGGTCTGGTGGCATAGTTTCCTCCAAGGTCTGGTGGCATAGTTTCCTCCAAGGTCTGGTGGCATAGTTTCCTCCAAGGTCTGGTGGCATAGTTTCCTCCAAGGTCTGGTGGCATAGTTTCCTCCAAGGTCTGGTGGCATAGTTTCCTCCAAGGTCTGGTGGCATAGTTTCCTCCAAGGTCTGGTGGCATAGTTTCCTCCAAGGTCTGGTGGCATAGTTTCCTCCAAGGTCTGGTGGCATAGTTTCCTCCAAGGTCTGGTGGCATAGTTTCCTCCAAGGTCTGGTGGCATAGTTTCCTCCAAGGTCTG